AATCCTATCTTAAAATTTTTATCCTATTTCACCGGTGCTATTGCTTATTTAATTGAACTTGCTGCTATTTTTGCTGCCGTTGTTCAAGATTGGGTAAATACTCATTTAGCTTCTCATTCCGATATATTACAAATTAGGCAATTCATTTGTGTGTTACCTATTTTGTTGTTGTTGTTGGTACACGGAGATATATGTGATTATATGTGATCAATCAAAATATCTAATTTTTAATCTATTGTTTTTTTCCATTAATAATAATAATCATAATAATAATAATATTAATTAATTTAAAATATTATATATATTATATATATATTATATAATTTTAATATTTATAATATTATTATTATTATTTTTCTTTATTATTATTACTTCATATTTTCATTATTTTTATTAGGTTGATTTTGGTGTTATCGTGGGCTTACTTTTCATTAATGCTTTCATCGGTTTCATTGAAGAAGCTCGTGCCGAAAATGCTTTGGATGCTTTAAAACAAACTCTCGCTTTAAAAGCAAAAGCTTGGCGTGATGGTCAATTTATTGAGGTTGATACTGCTGAACTTGTCCCTGGTGATGTTATTGGTCTTCGTCTTGGTGACATTGTTCCTGCTGATGCTCGTTTACTTGGTCTCGATGTGACTGGTAATGAAACTGATGCCCATCTTTCTATCGATCAATCTGCTTTAACTGGTGAATCTCTACCCGTGGAAAAAGCAAAAGGTGCTACCGTTTATTCTTCTTCAATAGTAAAACAAGGTCAAATGTTGGCTGTAGTAACAAAAACTGGTGGTGATACTTTTGTCGGTCGTGCTGCAAATTTAATTTCTATCACTGTTGAACAAGGACATTTCCAAAAAATTGTTAATGCTATTGGAAACTTTTTAATTTTAATTACTGTCGTTTTGGTCGTAATTATCTTTATCTATCAAATGGTTCATTTTCGTGGAACTCCTCAAGGTGCTTTCCTTGTGGTTCTTGGTCACTCTTTGGTCCTTACTATCGCTGCTATTCCTGTTGGTCTTCCTACTGTATTATCTGTTACTATGGCTGTCGGTGCTAAACAACTTGCTGCTAAAAAAGTTATCGTTAAACGTCTTACTGCCGTTGAAGAAATGGCCTCTGTTTCCGTCCTTTGCTCTGATAAGACTGGCACTTTAACTCTTAATGAACTTACCTTTGATGAACCTTATTTATGCCCTGGTTATACCAAAGAAGATATTCTACTTTATTCTTATCTTTCTGCTGAACCTGGTGCTAATGATCCAATCGAAAGTGCTGTTCGTACTGCTGCTGAAGAAAGTCTTGAAATTCTTAAAGGTCGTCAAAATAAACATGACGTTCCTGGATATAAAGTTACTGCTTTTGTTCCTTTCAATCCTACCACAAAAATGACTTGCGCTACTGTAGTTTCACTTGATACAAATGATGTATTTAAAGTGGCTAAAGGTGCTCCTCAAGTCATTATTAAATTAGTTGGTGGAAATGATGATGCCGTTCGTGCTGTTAATGCTTTGGCCGTTCGTGGTCTTCGTGCTCTTGGTGTTGCCCGTACTATTAGTGGTACTGATGATTATGAATTGATTGGTATGATTTCTCTTCTCGATCCTCCTCGTCCTGACTCTGCTGAAACGATCAAACGTTGTAATGGTTATGGTGTTGATGTTAAAATGGTTACTGGTGATCAATTGATCATTGCAAAAGAAGTTGCTCATAGACTTGGAATGAATCGTGTAATTCTTGACGCTAATCATTTGGTTGATCCTACTAAGAGTGATGAAGAAGTTACTCAACATTGTGAACGTGCTGATGGTTTTGCTCAAGTTATTCCGGAACATAAATATCGTGTTGTTGAACTATTACAAAAACGTGGTCTTCTCGTTGGTATGACTGGTGATGGTGTCAATGATGCACCTGCTTTAAAGAAAGCCAATGTTGGTATCGCTGTTCATGGATGTACTGATGCTGCCCGTTCTGCTGCTGATATTGTATTATTGGCACCTGGTCTTTCTACTATTGTCGATGGTATCACAACTTCACGTGCTATTTTCCAACGTATGAGATCTTACTCCCTTTACCGTATCACTTCCACCGTACATTTCTTGATGTTTTTCTTCTGTATTATCATTGCTGAAAATTGGGAAATGAGGCCCATTCTTTTGATTTTAATTACTATATTGAACGATGCTGCCACTCTTGTTATTGCCGTTGATAATGCAAAGATTTCTGAAAGACCGGATAAATGGCGTCTTGGTCAATTGATCTGTTTATCAATAGTTTTAGGACTCTGTTTGACAGCAGCTTCTTTTGGTCACTTTTACTTAGCAAAGGAAGTATTCAATATCTCAGTTGATGTTGAAGGTCAAGACCAAAGGATGCAATCTATAATGTATCTTCATATTTCATCTTGCCCACATTTTGTAATCTTTTCTACACGTCTTTCTGGATTTTTCTGGGAAAACCTTCCATCGCCAACTTTCTTTATTGCTGTTATGGGAACTCAAATTTTTGCCATGTTTGTTTCTATTTATGGTGTTCTTACACCAGATTCAGCAATTGGTTGGGGTTGGGGTCTTGGTATCATTGGGTTCTCACTTGCCTACTTTATTGTGTTAGATTTCGTTAAAGTTATGGTATTTAGATATTGGTCATTTGAACTTACTGCTAAACTGTGGCCAACACCCGCACGAAGGCAGAAATTAAAAGCTCGTCATGAACGAGAAGTGTATAATGAAAAGGTATCTCATACTGTTTCAAAAGTGAGAAAAGTTGTATTGATGTCAAAGGTTATATTAGCATTTAGATCTGCTTTTGAAGAAAGTAAAAAGAAAAAAATTATGGCATAGAAATAATTTCACTGCATACACATTTCCTTTTTTTTTTATAGCTTATTTAATTCTTTATTTTTATTACAAAAAATTACAATGTATATTCGATGGATTAATTTGGTTGTGTTTTGAACTTTGTAAATTTTAAAACTTTGATATTAAAAAAAAAAACTTACATTCTATTTTGTTGAGCATATTTTTTGTGGTTGTATTGTGTTGTAAGTTTTTTTTTTTTTTCAAAAAAACATATATAATAGTAATAATAATAAAAAAAAAACATCATTTTTTTTAACATTTAAATTGTGTATGTAATATCTTTAAGAGTCTTTCTAATGTTCATTTTATGTTTTCTTAAATGCTAAATGATGTATTTTTATTTGTTTAATATCAAAATAAAATAAAATATGTATGAAATCGATTGTGTTAAATTTGTTTTTATTTATTGCAATTATTTTTGAGTTTAAAACAATTGTTTTTACTGTCTATGCTACATGTCAACGGCAATAATACCGTATCTTAAGTTATTAGACTCTACTTCTAATGAGTTTATGAATGCTATTTAATTCATATTTAACTAATTACGTGAGTTACTAAACAATCCATTTACAAAAATATTAACTTATAAAAATAGTTCTTGAATTTCTTCAAGTGACTTTCCCGTTGTTTCGGGAACCATTAAATAAACAAATAACCAACCAAAAATCATAAATACACCATACATCCAAAAAGTTGCTTTTTGTTGAAAATAAATGTTAGTTAGTTTATGACACATATATATGAACTACAGTAACGATAATAATGTTTAGATTTTTCAAGGTTACCTGATACTGTTATTAATTCCGTTAATGGTAAGAAAGTGATCGCAACCACTAAATTTACACACCAATTTGTTGCTGCATATTTAAATGTAGAATTATAAAAACATGAATTATAAATTATAAACTCTTTATTAACGTATCAAAGAAAAAATGTTTGATCATATTTTTACCTGTAGCAATTCCGTTGGCTCGACCGCGTACATTTAAAGGAAATATTTCACTTTGTATTGTCCATGGAGCATGACCAATTCCTAATGCATATGCTAAAAAAGAAAAACGAAACCATTACTGACATAATCACGATGCGAACAATAAATACAAAATGATAATATAATATTGATAATATAATATTGATAATATAATATTGATAATATAATATTGATAATATAACATACCTGCTACAAAAACAACCAATGACGACAATGTAAACCAATTTCCTCTAATACTTGTTGAAGGACAAGAATCGTATAATTGATCTGAAGAAAGTGTTTTGTCCACACAAACATCTTTTAATTTACTAAATCCACATCTATCATCAATCAAACAAGCACCACATCTTGTTCCATAATCAGCACAAGTATCTTGTTTTGGAACTAAACCGGTTACGAAAATGAAACCTATACCAAGAAGAACTAAACCAACTACGGTTCCAAACAAAGTATATAAAAGTATACGACGTCTACCAACACGATCAATTAAGTATAGAGCAACAACTATTTTTGAAATATACAATGTACTAATTTATATACAATTAACGAAATATTTAACATATGCAACATGATTAGACGTACCTGTCATGGCAAAATTAGTTGCAGATACAAGGATAGAAAATATTATGGCATCTCTGATATCGGTAAATCCAGCCATTTTCATTATAGTGGCCTATATGAAATTTTACCAGGTAAATAAGATAGGTGAATCATAAATTCACTAAATATTAATTATTAAATATTAACTAAATATTAATTAAATATTAACTAAATATTAATTAAATGTTAACTAAATATTAACTAAATATTAATTAAATATTAACTAAATATTAATTAAACATTAACTAAATATTAATTAAATATTAAGTTTATTATTTCAACAATACTTACACCGTAGTACATAGCCGTATCGAAACCTGAAAACTGTTGGAATAGCTGAAGTCCACAAGCAATAATAAGCGGTCTTAAATTCGGGTAAAAAAATAATTGTTTATAAGATCCTGTGGCATCTTGAGCAATTGTCTCATAGATTACATCAATTTCTGGAAATATATAATAATAATCAATTCGCAAAAGATATACATTGAAAAATTTTGATTTCATAAATTTCATAAGAAACAAAGATGTTTCATTTACCATCATTTAAAAATTCACGAGGAGCGCCAGGATATATCTTTGCTAAAACTTTTTTTGCTTCTTCAGTTCTGCCTTTTCTCACAAGGAATCTTGGACTTTCAGGAACAATTGGCATAACTAAACCAAAATATAAAAGCAGATATAACATTAATAGAATATGTTGGAGCGATAATATACAGTATGAATCAGATTTCGACTTACATAAAAGTTGTAAAAATGGAGGAATTACTGAAACACCAAACATCCATCGCCAACCATGTTGAAATATAAATGCAGTAGCAATCAAATAGGAAATTAATTGACCACCAGTGCACATCAAAACATTTATCGTAACTAATCGACCTCGATAAAATCTTGGAGAAATTTCACTTATATAAATTGGAACTACCATTGAAGCCAAACCAACGGCAATACCAACTATTAACCTCCCTATCAATAAAGACGAATATGAAGGCGCTAATGATAATACTAATGCACCACAAACAAACAACGTTGCAGCAACCATTGTTGTTATGCGTCTTCCGGCAATGTCAGATAAAGCACCTGTTAATTAAAATATAGAGATCAATATAATTAACCTAAATAAAAAAAAGAAAAAAATTTATATTCTTACCAGCAAAAATGCTACTAAAAATTGCACCAAATGTTGTGGCTAAAAAAAATTTCAGGTAAAAGTGAATAACAAATAAAATTGTATCAAAAAAAAAAGATATTTCTCCTTTCAAACCTCCAACAACAAGTCCTTTAGTAACAGAAGTCATAGGAAAATCTTTCTCCAAGAGCAACATGGCGCTACTAATGATTCCGGTATCGTATCTATAAGGTAATGAGAAAATTATGAATTAAAAAATTAAAAGATATATATATATATATTATATCTACGCAATTACCCAAACATAAATCCACCGACAGCTACAGTAAAGGCCGTAAAGAATACGAAAGGAGAAATCGAACTAGCACTTTCAACATCTTTTAGCATCTGTTCACTAGAATTGAAATTGTTAATTCTATCATTTGAACGTTTTGTAATCCCATCGCCATCAAATTTTTCCTCCATTATAGATCGATAAGCTAAAAATCGTTTGAAAAGATTAACGTTAATAAATCAATGTTATAATTGCAATACGCTTGAAGTGATCTTTATTCATCTATATATTTTATTTTAATCATTTATCATACGTATGAATGAATGAACATGATGACGACATCCCAATCGCATTCCTTAAATATACAAGTAAATTTACGTAATCTAATTATGTGCGTACCTATACCATTTCTCGAAGACCCACTCATTTTTACAAAATTTAGCAATAATAATAAATAAGTAATATTTTTATACGACTATATCATAATTTCACTAAATTTTAAATTATAAAACTGGAATGTTGATCAAATGAACAGTTGTAAAGATAGTAAATTGACAAAATGTAGTTAATGTGTTAAGTGTATGTTTCACAATGTATATATGTTATGTGTCACTTCACAATTCCTGTTAGTTTCAAAATGATATACCTTAGTTTAAAATTGCAATTTAACGTATGC